TCATCCAGAGTGTTGGGTCTCAAGCTCATCCAGAGTGTTGGGTCTTGGGTCTTAAGCTCATCCAGAGTGTTGGGTCTTAAGCTCATCCAGAGTGTTGGGTCTTGTGTTTTAAGCTCATCCAGAGTGTTGGGTCTTAAGCTCATCCAGAGTGTTGGGTCTTGGGTCTTCAGCTCATCCAGAGTGTTGGGTCTTCAGCTCATCCAGAGTGTTGGGTCTCAAGCTCATCCAGAGTGTTGGGTCTTGGGTCTTAAGCTCATCCAGAGTGTTGGGTCTTAAGCTCATCCAGAGTGTTGGGTCTTGTGTCTTAAGCTCATCCAGAGTGTTGGGTCTTAAGCTCATCCAGAGTGTTGGGTCTTGTGTCTCTCAACTTTCTCTTCACAATATCCCACAGATTCTCTCTGGGGTTCAGGTCAGGAGAGTTGGCAGGCCAGTTGAGCCCAGTAATACCATGGTCAGTAAACCATTTACCAGTGGTTTTGGCACTGTGAGCAGGTGCCAGGTTGTACTGAAAAATGAAATCTTCATCTCCATAAAACTTTTCAGCAGATGGAAGCATGAAGTGCTCCAACATCTCCTGATAGCTGCATTGACCCTGGCCTTGATAAAACACAGTGGCAAATTTAAAGCGCAAGTTCACTTTGACACTTACTAGTTGGCAACAATTCATGTACAATTTATATACAACACTGCCAACTAGCAGTGTATGAACTCTTTTACAACTTAATTTACAACTGCTGATTGCTGGGGATGTGATTTCCTGAAACCGACCTTTAGCTCCTGGTGTAAAAATTAAAAAGTTGTTGAGGATTGCTAGCTCAGCTGCTTCTTTGTCTTTTTCTTTTGTTGTGGATTTTTCATTAAAGAAGCATCAAAAAAGTAATTTTAAAACTGTTTATTRGAAAACTGAAGCGATGCATTCTGGGTACATGACGAATTTGATTTGTGACGGGAAACGAAAGCACGGAGTACAGGAAGCTATCTTCACTTCAAAATAAGAGCTTGGATTTTAAAGTTTTCCATGTAGTTGCTCCACTTGACCACTAGATGTCAGTCTTCATCAGCATAACATCTTTAAATCATTTCTGTGTCTCTAACACCGTTGCTTCGATCCGAATTACATCAAGTATTGAGCTCCAGCATTTAAACTTTATTTCTTTTAAAAAGGAGCTCTGATTTTAAAGTAAAATAAATCAGTACATACAAAAGTTTAGTATGGATTACAAATGTTTACTGTTTTTGCTATTGCCTTCCTGCTACATAAGCAGACAGAAAGCATTGTGGGAAATCAGAACCGTGACCCAAAGCAACAGTCAGCAGGATGTATACCTTCACAATAAGTGTGTTTATCTGGGAGGGGTGCTGTTGGATAGATCACATGTTGTGATTCATTGACAGTCATACCTTCTGCTGTTCAACATAATGAGGACTGGTAGATAATTAGTTATTAGCGGTACTGCATTTCAATTTTGGAAAGCGCAAATCCGCTTATGAATTATAAAAGTTAGTAAGACCGCTAAAGCGCAAACACAATTCAGTATTTAGGTCCGCAATTAGCAGATTTGCGCTTTAGCAGGCTGGTGCCCATCATTGAGAAAGGTATCAACCGTCAGTAGTGTCTCAGTCCCGGGATCAAGTTTTTGGTGAAAGTTCCTTTTAAAAGGATTTTAGTAAAAATGTTGTGGATTCTCCAGGTGGACGGTCGAGACTGGGCTCTGAATGGAAACACCATCTCACTGGATGAAGAGACTGTGATCGATGTTCCTCAGCCCTTTGACCAGATGGAGAAGTACTGCGCCTCGCTGGGTCACAAGGCGAACCACTCCTTCAGCCCTAACTGCAGATACGAGCCGTGAGTCCAAACAGACACCAGTACTCAGAGGTTCTCTGTGCTTTTAACCAGCATGCCCCAACTGGTTTCAAACACAACACTCAGCCAGTCCACAAAGACTCAGTTCACCTAAACTGCATGGTTTGAATCTAATAAACCAGGGCTTCTTAACCTTTTTGACCTCAGGGCCCAATTTATTGAACATAAAGAGTCACGAGGCCCAGTCAGACATTACCAATGTATGGATCAAAATGATAATTATTATAAAGCTTGATTTAATTTTTATTGTTTTTACATCATAACTAAATTATCATAACAAGCATAACTAAATAAAATACACTTACAGTTTAAAAGTAAAACTCCTGTCAAATAATCACAAGACATGATTATAACAAACATTTTTATATTGTAACCTGCCCATAACAATTATTTGAACAAATACAAAGGTCAGTCAACAGACCACTCAGGTTTATCGCAAAAAAATTTTTTTACATATGTACATATGTGTGTGTGTGTTTTTATATATATATATATATATATAT